ACTGATGCTCACACAAACAAATTTTGCCACTTTTAACTGCATAAATGGCTTATGAAACATATTGACTGCTCTATAATAGGTCGAATTCAAATAATTTCCGGAATAAAGCTGTCTATATTAAGCAAAAGAAACATTCGGATTTTACGTTGTAATAACTTCAGTTCCAATCAGACATTAATTGTGTTCTTTACTTTCCGGAAAAGATTATGATGTCCATTCCACCGAAAACATTCCTCCCAAGGCCAACACTAACGGAATCGCAATACAATATTCAACACTGCATTTGAACTGGGGAAATAGTGACGGGAAAATATGACTGTTGACGGGAAGACGAAGCAGCAACTGTCGGAATTAACAACGACAACAAGCAGAAGGTACAAAGAGAAGAACTATGGATCACATGACTTGACAAACGGCTGTATTAAGCGATTGATCAGCTCTTCTTTGTTGCCTAGCTGCCTTAGCCTCAGCTTCTGTTTGTGTTGCCACCGGCGCCTGAACGATTATAATATCGGCTTCCATATCCGTCTTGGTCAGCTGCATTCCAAGAATCTCGGCTGCCAATTGACTGCAATTATAAACAGTGTAGTAGTTTCAGCTCTCGTCATCGGACCGAAATACCTTTCCAAGATAAATTGACGTGCCCAGGCCTAACTTCACAATATAACGCGCATTTGTCCATCCAGTATCCTGGACTAATTGGCGCACATTCGTAAAATTGATGTATAGGGTTGATTATCGGTGTAAAAAATTTCTAGAGCAACCGTTTCTCTCGACAACCATGACATCAAGCCNGAACTGAAAAACATTCAGTCCTTTTCGTTCGCTTAGTCACGTTGATATAAGAGCAATTGCCACAAATGTAATGATTCTTTGGACGAATGCTTCATAATTCGAAAACGTCGCAGGGGAAAAATTCTTCATGATCCCAAATCCGTTCGAAGACAATCATAGGATTAGTGTCGACGAATACGATTTGTTTTGAATGGTTTATTTCTACAGCGAACGTTGTAACTGTGTTCTTACTATATATAAAAAGATAAAAATTGAAGCATAAAGAATTTAGCTATCTAGAATTGTACTCCTGAAAGGGTCCCTCACTCATGAATTCACGTTGTTGTTGGTTTGTTTGTGCATTAATAGCTGAACATCATCATTCAGATACACTCTCTTGAGTAAACATATTGCATACAGATGATCAATGATCAATTCATTCATAGTTATTTACATGGCAATAAATAAATACCGGCGCATGCGTGAGCTTCATTCGGCAAAGTGCAGAATGTTTCGTGGATTTGACGAGTAGCCACAAAAGACAGTCAGGCAAAGTGGTGTTTCTGTTATTGTTATCATTATTATAATTCATATTATTATT